GGAGAAGGAAGAGGAGGGAGAGAATTTGTAAGTTTTCTTTTTGCATGAGAGTAACGGTTAAATACCTAAAAACACAAGTACACCTTGGGGCGGGGTTTGAGAGGTCCTGTCTGTTGTGCTGAGTAGTGAGTTAACCCTCTGCTGTTGAGTGAGCTTCTCAGTCCAGGGCCGTGGGGAGGGGAAAGCAAGCTGCGAGCTGGGTGTTGCCAGGAATCTCCAGTCCTCGCAGTTTGCTGAGATGAGGTCTTGGCGTTTCCAGTTAAATGCATGAATATGTTTGGACACCCTCATGGTAAAGCCTTTTGTACAGATTTTTCACCGCACCTTTATTTCCTAGCTGTTGCTAGAAGCGATCTGGTGTTTTCCTTGGAATGCAGCCAGTCTCCTCCACCGTTTTCCTTTTTCCAGAACAGTGTATTCTTCGTAACCCATCTCCCCAGGAAGAAGTCAGTTTGCACCAAATGCCAGCTTTGCTGGAAGGTCTTCTGTGGGTGAGCAAACCAGTGTCAGGACGTGATGGGGGCTGAACTCTTCCTGTGAGCAGAGGCCTGCAGTGTGTTAAAAACAAACCATCAAAAACAGGTGTTAGCTGGGCTTGGTGGCTCAGCCTGTAATACCGCGCCTTTGGGAGGCTGAGGTGAGTGGATTGCCTGAGCCCGCGGGTTCGAGACCCGCCTGGGCAGCGAGCCCTCATCTCTACAATAAATCAAAAAATCAGCTGGGCGTGGTAGCGCCTGCCTGTAATTCCAGCTACTTGGAAGGCTGAGGCAGGAGGATCGCCAGAGCCCAGCAGGTTAAGGCTGCGGGGGCCGGGAGTGGCCACTGCACTCCAGTCTGGGCACGGAGTGAGACTCCAACTCAAAAAAAAATAAACAACAAAAAAAAACCCAGGTGCTAGTGACTCTTGCCGTGTCTCAGGTGAGAGTGTTTCCGAGGTGTTTTGCAAAGCAAAACCTTGCGAGTGAAGCCGGTTTTAGAGTGACCTTTAGCCACGCCACAGGATTCCAGGGGGTGGGGGCTTCTGCTGTTTTGTCATCATGTTTGGCTTGCCATAAAGATAAAACTTCTGGCTGCGTAAAATGTAAGAGTGTTTAAACAGCAAAGAATATCTTTTTAAAAATAGCAAAGCTAAACAAGAGATAAAGTATGAAAGAAACGTGTTGAATAATAAAGAATTTGGTTGGCTTTTGCCCTTGGCTCCTGCAAGGTCACCTCTAAATCATTATTGTTTCCCGAGCAATAGAGGGTCTTTGTGATTTATCAGGCCTCTGGAACCACACTTGCAATTATGCTAATGAGGTGTCTCTTGCCCAGGCTCCTAGGTAGTTTCAGAACGGGCTATCCATGCCTAAAAGACCAGCAGTGGGATGTGAAGGTTGGGTTTTGAGCCAGGCCATGTCAGTTCAAACACTGGGAGGGGAATGGACTGGAGAGCGAGCTTAGGCATGTGGCCAGTGGTCAGTTAATCATGCCCACACCATAAGGCCCCAGTCAAGACTGGACACTGAGGTCCGAGAGCTTCCCTGGGCGCCAGCCCCATGCCATGTTGGGCTGAGCAGTCCTGAGGACACTGGGGCTTTGTGCTGTGCCCTCGAGACCTGAGTACTCCTCTGTGGCTGCTTCTCGCTTGTACCTTTTGTTCATAAAGCTGTAGCCACGAGTGGAGCACCTTCCCGAGTTCTGTGAGTCATTCCTGCAACCGGTCAAACCCGATGGAGTCATGGGAACCCCCCGGGTGCAGCTCAGAAGTGCAGGCGGCCCGGGGCCCCTCCCAGACCTGGGACTGGTGACTGAAGCAAGGACGGGCTTGTGGGGTCTGTGCCCTCACCTGGCTCGGGGTGTCAGCTCAGAATTACACTGCAAACGGCAGCTCCCCCAAATCTCCGTTTTGTGTTAAGCATTAGAATTAGAAATACTGTGAAATTTGATTGTGGTGTGATGATATTTAGGTTTCTGTGCAGGGCTTTTTGCACTTTAAAAAAAATCAGTTTTTAAAATTTGATTTTCTTTTCTGAGTCGGAGTCTTCCTCTGTTGCCCAGGCTAGAGTGCAGTGTCATGACCACAGCTCACTGCAGCCTTGACCTAGGACTGGGTGATCCTTCTACCTCAGCCTGCTGAGCAGCGGGAACTAGAGACGTGCACCACCATGCCCAGCTAATTAAAAAAAGCTTTTTTTGTAGAAATGAGATCTTGCCATGTTGCACGGGCAGGTCTTGAACTCCTGGGCTCAAGTGATCCTCCTGCCTCAGCTTCCCAAAGTGCTGGGATTACAGGCGTGAGCTACCGTGCTGGCCAGGTTTTTATTAGGTGTTGCCAGACAGTCTGTACCATCGGGGCACTGGTGGCGTGAAGGCTTCCCTGGCTTGTGCTGTGAGCTTGGTCTTCTCGCTGCCTTTTCCATAGTCTGCAGCCCAGGCAGAATGGCAGGACGCTTTTTATCCAGCAATTTCCCTATCTTTGGTGTGTTGGCTCTTTGTTATTAAAACTCCACAGTGGTGCACACCAGGATCCTCCAGGGAGGCCCAGTGAGCCCTGGGACTTTCTGACACCACCAACAGAACACTCCACTGCCCCGGGCCCACCTGGAGAGACATTCTGGTGGCAGCAGCAAGCCTCTATAGGTCCCAGGGCTCTGCAGCTCTGCCTTCAATTCCAGTGGCCTGTGGGCCACAGCTGACCTGTGGTGTTCCTTCAGTGGAACACACCAGGGCAGGGTGGTGGGAGGTCAGGGGAGCATGCCAGAGCGGCCGAGTGGGGAAGCACATCAGTGGAGCACACCAGGGCAGGGTGACGGGGGCATGTGAGTGGAGCACACCAGGACAGGGTGGCAGGGGGCGCATCAGTAGGTTACAGCAGAGCAGGGTGGTGGAGGGCAGCCCCGGAGGGGGCTTTTTCTCTTGAGTTAAAGTTTGCTCCTGCTTTGGGAAGCCTGCAGTGTCCCACACAGGTCAGAGCAGTCCCCCCTGAAGGCTTCCTGTCCCCTGTTGTCTGGTCGGCGTAGGCAGGGCCAGAGCACCGAGGGTCCCGCCAGCCTTGTCGTGGAAGAGACCTATGTTTTGACTTTGAGACCTCAGGAGGAGCCGACTGGGACTGGCCGGCCTCAACCTCGTGGTTTCTGGTGGAGCCACTTGGATCCAAGCGTCCCTGTACGGGGTGAATGGTGACTTAGGTGCCTCCCCTCCAGTGGCCCTGCCATCTCCAGCTCATGGCCACCAAGTAGTCTGCAGTCACTGAGTCATCTGCGGAAGTATGCCTCTGTGCAGGGAGAGGCTCTTGCTTCCGGCTAAAGTTGCAGCTGTCTTGCTCAGTGGCCCAGGCTGGAGTACAGTGGCACCATCATAGCTCACTGCAGCCTGGAGCGCTTGGACTCGAGCGATCCTTCCACCTCAGCCGCCCAAGGGCTGGGATTACAGGCTGAGCCCCCATGCCTGGCCTCAGTTTGCTTCCTCTTGTCTTTTCCAACCACATCTAACTCTCCTCGCATCTCTCTGGCTGACTGATGCTGAGAGATTCCTTGCACCTACTTTGTTCTCTCCTGTGAGTGGTTCTTCTCAAGCCCCTTGTCTGCAAGGGAAACAGAACCATCGGCAGCGGCCAGCCTGGAGGTTCTGCGGGCGTCAGGGTCCAGGCTGCTGGTGCCCCCATGGATGGGAGAACAGGCTCAGACCAGGCTTGGTGGTGGAGAGAAGAGGTGGCCAGATGCCTGTGGTGCACGTTGTTTGCTTGCTTATAATTCATGTACTTAATTAAAACGGAGCTCGCCATTAAAAAGTGGATAACCTGTTTCTGAAAGTAAAGACTTCTGCTTTTGTGGAGAGAAAGAGGCTGGAAGAGAGGTCAGGACTCGAGTTGTAGGTGACAGGAGCATGGTGCAGGTCGTTTAAGATTTAACAGGGCACTCAGGTGAGGATGCGGGGACAGTCCGAAGGGAAGCTCCTGGGAGCCAGGACAGCCTGCCCGGTCGGGGACTCCCAGGGATCCCTCTGCCTGTGTCCCCTCCCCATCAGAGAAGGGCCTCCACTTCAGCAGGAAGGTTCCGTTCTCGGCCTTCTCCTCTGGCAGGAAATTGCCCGCCGGCATCTACAGTCTGGGTCTTGAAAACGGAGTTTTAAAAAGAGACATTCTAGAGTGTGGTCTGCTGGCTCCGAAGAGTGGCATTTTGTAACCTGTGTACCATCTTTTTTTAAAAAATGCTATTGCCAGTTCAGAGAACAGACGATTGGCTTCTTACAAGAACACTTGTTTCTCGTGGCTTCCTCTCTCCTTTTTCGGTCGCTCAGCATGCAATGCTATGCTTGGTCCTGTCACAGAAGGACTGTTTCAGGACCTGGCGGTGTTCTGCATGAGGTCTGTCTCGTTCTGCACATGGAGAGCACACTTGCCACCTCGAGTTGGGCAGTCTGGTCTTCTCTTTCTACATGAGTACAAGCTTCCTTAGGGCCCAGCTTTCTGCTGTGACCTTTGGGGAAGGGACATCGAGCTTCTTGGGCTTGTCATCTGTCAAGGGCTGATTCTAGTTGGACTTTGAGCAGACAGCATGCCACTGGTGTTTTAGAGGTAACGCTTAATGACGTGGAAAATGTAATTGTGCATCATGTAGACTTTTTTTAAATTTTAGGCATATTTTTGTACAATGGACATCCCATAAAGCAGGTGGACGTCTTGGGAACTGTTGTTGCGGTGCGAGAAAGAGACGCCTTCTACGGTTACGGAGGTAAGGACAGTTGTTGGAAGTGCGATTTCTGTGCAGGGCCCCACCCGGCAGAGGGTTGGTTTTAAGCAGCCCTGTCTTTCAGCACAGCTGGGCCCGCTCACGGCCTGTGCACTTTCCTCTCTTGGGAGCCTCTTGGAGCCCGAGACGGGGACTTACGAAGTGAGGCGGCAGGTGGAAGGAGACCCACAGACTCGGTGAGGTGGCAGCTGCCGGGAGCCAGAGGTGGAGGAGTCAGGTGTGGCAGACAGACCCTGGGCCAGCGCCGGCACCCAGCCCTTGCGGGTGCTGCTGTCAGAGTAGAGCCTTGCAGCCTGGTTATGTGGGTGGCTTTAAACAGAAGGCCAGGTTCATGTTAAACAGACTCTCAACAAGACGGGGTGTGAGAGAGAACTTAAGATTCATATCCAGAACAGCTTTTTTTTAAAGGCCTTTAGGTACTCGGTGGGGTAGATGCCCATTGTCAGAAAGCTCCTCTTCCCTCGTGATAAAGGGACACCAGAGATCTGCTAGAGTGGGGGACTGGTGTAACAGGCCTTGCGCTTTTCCTGGAGTTGGCCATAAGCATTTTGACATCTTGCCTTACGCATCTCCAGGATTTTCTGCAGGTGAGAGGCTAAGCTAGGTATTTTGTGGTAAGCTTGTCATTGAGTTCCAAACCCTTGTGGTAGCTGGCATTGTCACTTTTTGAGCTGAGCCTGGGCTTTGTATTCTTACTCTACTCGGGAAAGGGATGTGGTTCAGCTTTGTGAACAGGAACATTTCATGGGCAGTTGCTGCACGATTGGTAACTTCAGATACAATATCATTGCATGTCTTCAGCATGTGCTCATCTTCCTGAAGATAACTGTCTTATGCTGATGAAATCACATGTGAGAGATGAGCTTTTTTTTTCCCTGCTGGGTGTGGTGACTCATGCCTGTAATCCCAGCACTTTGGGAGGCAGAGATGAGAGGATTGCCTGAGCCCGGGGTTCAAGACCAGGCTGGGCAACTTGGCAAGACCTTGTCTCTACAATAAACCAAAAAATTAGCTGGGGTAGTGGCACACTCCTGTAGTTCCAGCTACTTGGAAAGCTGAGGCGGAAGAGCTGCCTGTGTCCAGCAGATCAAGGTTGTGGCCATGAGCATGCCACTGCATTCTAGCATGGGTGACAGGTGGGACTCCGACTCAAAAAAATAAAAATTTTAAAAAGTATTCTTGAATTTTTCCTTCAGCATAAATTTCAGCCAGCAATAAAATGTTTGCTTTATATTTGTTCTACATTACGTGTGCTCTTACAGCATTCTAGTTAATGATTTTTTTTTTATTTTTTGAGTTGGAGTCTCACTCTGTCACCCAGACTGGAGTACAGTGGC